AATCCCGGCTACCTGGCTTATGCAATCACCCCTTAGAAACAAACTTATTGGAAATAATTGAGATATTTGAGCAAACTTACAAGCAGCCGTGCTTTGATTAAATGTAACTATTTCTCGCATTTTTTCAAATTTTTAGCAATAATTTTGTTATGTTATGTTTTATTAAAGGTAATGGTAAAGTTTCCAGTGCAATTACGGATTGAAATGCACGAAAGAGTTTTCTAAAGTTTGCAGTGAAATAGCAGGAGTCCGAAGGATAAGTATTTAAAGTGCAATTACACACTTCAACGATGCACTAACACCTTTTCGCGGTGCATTTTATGTATAAACTGCACTGCAATCTACCAATCACTGGGGGTTAAAATCTGTCGCTTGTCAGCTGTACAGTTGCGTGCATATTTAAAACGGCCTAAACTTCGTTTTAAAAGGCAAATCATCATTGATTTAGGCGGTTGCAAGAGTAAATGCAAAGATTTCGAAAACTTTATATTTATTTGTGTACGTAGATGAAACCAAACTATATTGAAACCATATACGAGAACGTTAAGAAAATGATACGCGAATGATACGAGAACAATACCATTGAGTTTTATAATAACTGGAGGGGAAAAGGGGCCTGGACCCCGTGGTCAAAATCATGGCGGTAATGGCGGATTTTGGTTGTCAAAACTTCCACTTTGAGAAAAAATTTTAACATTCGCTCTCTCCCGAATGCGGATCTCTATTCCTGCTTATATTAATGACGACCAGCGAAAACAACCACGATACCGTAAGCATAAAATATTGAAAATAATGCTTCAGCTTTTTGTGAAATAGACACACACATTTAAATGAGGTAAATCTACTGTAAAATAACGTATATTTTGTCAAGTAATGCTTTAGCTATATTAGAAATAAATATCAAACGGCATTCTTTACACTGTCAATGTGTCGTTAAGCTTTAATGCATAATCCCATTCGCATTACTTGTGTTTTTGACTATTTTTTATGTGCTTCGTGCAACTCTCTTTCTTGAATAGATGGGTAAATATTAGTTAAAATGTCCAAAAAGGAGTTAGAAAAAGTTAGCTTACCCCTACGACTTAAGTCGACTGGAAATATATTATAAGTAGGTATGTATTTTTTTTGAGTTTTTTTTGGTAGGATTGATTCTGGGTGTCTTAAAAATTATTATGATATTCTGATAAATCTACTGAGAACTTATGAAGAAAATATCTTGAACTAGGAGAGCAAAAGAACGAAATTCAGAAATTCTATAATCATGTTGCTGGTTCTGTTTTGAGCCAAGATATTAGAAACTGAATTGTCATTGACAACCATGGATCTACTACTGAACAGAACTACATTAATTTCCCATTGAAAATAGGATTTCTTAAATTAAAGTGCATTGGTTTCTATGACATAACACTTTTCTTATTGCTGCATGAAGGCAAACCTGTTTAAATAATTATAATGTAGGTGAAGATATTTAGCATGTTGTATAATTGTTATTGTACAGTCATAATTTATAATATTATGGCCTTGTGTAATGTATGTCAAGAACTTATTAATTCTCAAAAATGCTAACCTTCTTGCACTACTTTTCTCTTGTGTCCTTACAAATTACAGTTACCTATACTAATTATTTCTAGGTTCAAACAACTTGACAAACTTTTGAATTTTACATTATGCCTTTGAATTTTTCTTTTTGTCTTTTGGTAAAAATATCAGTAAATGACTTAAAAATCAAGTTTATCTAAAATAGTATTTTGTACAAAGTAACTATACATAATTGGAAAAGTCTCATGTTGAAGGCAGATGTGGCTTCTTTTACTAGATTGCTACTCTTATTCTTTTAAATGATATCGTAATTCTTCAAAAGACATAAAAAGTTCTTTGTCATCAATTTTTGCTTCTTCTACATTCAACTTCATTGCAACCAATGCATCTTATGTGAATTTTTAATCACCTGGAATTGAAAAACATATGGACTTTGTCAGATGATGCAGTACTGTATTTAATGTTTCATGCATGTCATGATAAGCTTTTCTTGAGCAAATATTTCAAGGTAGGAGCATAATTTGGCACATTATTTTGATTTTTATCTTGATTTTCATGTACTAACCTGTTTACTACAACAAACAGTTCATTTACAGAAACACCAGATGGCATTTATAAAACTTTTAGCATAAAGCAAACTTTTACACACCATCATCATGATTTTCCAAAATCTGTCAAATTGTCCAGGCTAGCTGTTTAATACAGGTATTTTTTATTGTACGACATGTACCAAAGAGCTCATTAATTAATCCTGCACTGCATCTGATTTCAATACAGCTCTGTTCTTAATACTTGCTTCATATTTTCAGAAAAATATCATGAAAAAATCCTCCATTTCTTGAAGGTAAACTCAGTTGAAACAAGGAGTTTTAAGATATGCATATCTCGATAAGAATTGGTTGCTTTGCCTCGTCTAGCAAGCGATTAAGTAAAGAATAAATAAGACTGGATAAACATAACTTAAATTATAACTTAGGAGTAAAAACATTCACAAAATATGTACCATCACACTTCAAGTATTGACTTAAAACAAAACGCTGAACACTTTAAATGGTAAACAATCTTACGTTGCTTACCGGTGTCATGAAATGTTTCCTTTTCTGGCATTACTTCAGCATCCGTATACCAAACAAGTTTGCAGCATGTTTTAAAGATCAAATTTCTAAAAGATTTTGTGCTTGGCATTGATATTTTATATAATCGCAATTGTGGTTGTCAAATCCGGGTGGGCGAAAAAAATTTTATTTTATGAGCCCGCGTCTTTCGGCTGACTTTGACAACCAAAATCCGCCATGTTTTTGACCACGCGGCCGCGCGCTAATGATTTATAGTAATTTTGTTGACGTTTCCCCTCCAGTTATTATAGAGCTCAATGAACAATACGCGTATGATACGAGAACGATACTCGTATGATACTAGAACGATATGCGTATGATACGAGAACGATACGCGTATGATACGAGAATGATACGCGTATAGCCTGTTTTCCACTAGCCACGTATGGTAACGTATCGTAGCAAAACGTAACATGGCGCATCCGTGCTTGTGTCTATTGACCATCAAATTCATAAGCACGCATGCGCCATGTTACGTTTTGCTACGATACGTTACGATACGTGGCTAGTGGAAAACAGGCTTATGATACGAGAGACACGCGTAACATACGCAAAATTATGTTAACAAATACGCGAGCGGTACCGTATGAGCTGCAGCTGCTAGTAATTCAGCTGTTTCCATAAGCCTCAAAAGGGCTTCGAAGAATTCTTCGATGTTTGGAAGCCAACAAAACACCATTTTTACCATGCGTCGCTATTTTGTGTTGCTTCAATTCCGGTAAAGTTTTTTCAAACTTCCGTTTCCCTTCCATATCGCTACGGCTTTGGAATTTTCATTAGTCAATTTTGTGAAATGTTCAATGATCGAGCGATGTTTTCAACTATCAATTTGTAAATTTTCAATTATGACATTGTTTTCGATACAACAAGATCCAATAATATTAAACCAATCACAGTTTTTGACATTTTTGTGTTATGAGCTAATCATAATGCGTTAACAGACTACAACTTAAACAAATGAAGCGCTTTGTCACAGTATAGAAACATACATTAGACTCACTCCACTTTGCAACTTGGTGCTCTATATTTAATTAGATCGCTAACGATTTTCTTGTAATTTGCAAGTAATGTGGAAGGGAAGAAACGTTTTCTATAAACGTCGGAGTTGGGTAACGAATTTTGTCAATTTATGCATATTTTTGGAGATCGACAGATCGTCATTCTCTGATGTGTATTGACAAAGTGTAAAGGCTCTCCATTTTCACTGGACATTGTTTGTTGTTAACAATGAGACATACAAGGTGAAGAATGCATTGAGGAGAGGAAGACCTCTCAAACTGATAAAAGCATTGTGAAATTGCATATCGACAACAACACTTTCAAACAAGAAGTTCTCTTATGGGTGGCTTGTATCTAATACACCTTTTAGGCTACTAGAAGTAGATACTGCACTGTGAGTAATTAGTTTAAACAGATGTTGTTAATGCCGCAACTTCAAATAAGTTCGAATACATTTAAAATACAAAATTCTAAATGGTTTTACATTATACAAAGGTTTCACTGTATACAATGGTATGCTCACAATTTCCAAAATTAAGCTATTCAGGATTTAGCAATAATTTGGTATCAATAATCAGTGCTTTGAGTTTCAAAGAAACCTTGATATACTTGATCTTTCACAACATTCATAAACATAATACCGCAGAAGCCTCTGCAAAAGGTATAACAGACACAAGTCACTCTCGATACGCAATCTCACAATGCTTTTATCAGTTTGAAAATTTCTCAATACATCACTGAATGGAGATCACCGAAAATATGCATAAATTGATAAAATTCGACACCCAATTCCGACGTTCATACGAAAAGCTACTTCGTCATACTTGTAAATTGCAAGCCAAATGGGTCATATTTAAATGCAGAATACGACAAGTTCCTATCAATTACAATGTAATTAACGAACTGCACTTGACAGGGGATAATAATTATCACGCGAAAAGATAGCGTATTTTGAGATTAAATATTTTGCGATATAGAACAAATCAAAAAAATTCCCATGACGAAGTTGAAGAAAAATACTCACTTTATCATATGCAAACGTTATTTTTTCAAAAACGCAATAACGAATTGCAGCAACTTCGTTGAACAAAGTGCTTCATTTGTTTAAGTTCTAGTAAGTTAAACGCATATTCTGATTGCCTATAGCACAAAATTGTCAACAAAAGGGCTGATGGGTTTAACATTATTGGACCTTTTTTTTCCATACGCATTTCATATATTTTCAATGTATAATATTGACATTGCTATTATTATATTTTTGTCCGCAACGGAACGCCATAGGCTACCCACAAGTAAAAATGATATATGAATTTTTGAATTCACGAATAGCATTTCTTTATTATCAACCTTTCTGCTTTACTTTCTCCTTATTCTGACGAGCTACGAAAGCTTTCACAGCATCATTCGACACCTTAACTGAACCATCAACTCTTGACTTCTTCTTGCTAATCTAAAAAAGGATTAAAATATAAAAGCTTGGCTATAACACCTTGATTAAACCAAGAAAGTTCTGCACTGTTAAAACAGTTTAAAACAGTAAGGTTTACTAGTTGATAGACACGATGAAGAAATTAGCGATGGAAATTTCATTAGCTGTTATCTACAGCGCTCCTAGAAAGATATGCATATCTCAAACACATTAAAAATTTAACAAAGCATCACATGTAACCTAAACATGCATACACAATTAAAATTTGCAATATCGGTTCTCCCACAGTCAAAATGAATGTTGGAAATAACAATAATTTTAAATTGTACTTTACATATGCGTAACGTTTTTACTGTTTTCATTTTTAAAAACTTTGAAATGTAAGTTGAAAATTTTTGTCAAATGAACATAAATTAAACTGAAATCGACCTTCTACAAAATTGGTCAACGTGCAGCACGATTGTATCCCCGCTAAACAGTTCGGAAAAAATTCAAAATTAAGAGAAAGGTTGCTAAGGTTAGACATAGCATAAATTGGTAATTATACATAGCACAAAGTAAGATAATGAAAAAAAGTATCAAAAACGTGGAGATGCATGAAACGTATGTCCTAAATAAGCTCACTTTTACTTATTAAATTTACGTACAAGTTATTGACAAATGATACCTTGTCTTCATGCAACATTGCATCAGAACAAAATGAAAATGTCAAACATAAAATAACACAGGCATCAAAAAGATTTGATAGCTCAAAACAATTTCTAATAGCGAAATTAAAAGTTTATAAGAGTAATAACATGGCTGCCTCTGCATCTTTTCTTATAACAGGGACGTTTACTGACATATTCCCACCAATTATACAAATAAAGGATTTTAGTTCTTAACATCCCTCAATGTATTCATTAGGGACGTTCAGACTAAATATCCTTTATCAATATTAAAACAATTTACTCTGGTTGCTTGTAAAAACTTCTTCAGTTTCCTTCTTGACTTTCCCACCAGCTGAATCATTTTTTATTCTGGTAAATGGAAACGGCTTATAGAAGGGTATATCTTTGGATAGTCAATTGAAACCACATAACTTCAAATACAAGTTTACATGCCAATAGTCTTCTTTGAGTGTTACATCGTCAATCTTTAGCCCTCTTGTTTAAAATCGCAAATCTCGTTATTACAAGCCTTAGCTCATTCCACATTAATGTATGTCATTGAGAGGTAACACAAATGTTTTTCCTTCGTGTAAACAATTTCCCAATTTCTCACTAACTTAAAAAACCTGTGATCAACCATAAAAATCTTTGACAGAAATCAAACTACAATATGAATTTGCAAAGCAAACTTATACAAAGGTTCACTGAACCAATTTAAGAACAGAACTCACAATTAAATGAGCTCGATAAATGTCTTTATTCCCTGGTTGACCATGAGCAATGTATGCTTTCGACAACATCAATGGTTGTAAACACTCTACTTGTGGTCACTGCCACTCGCAAAAACATATGTAAGTACAGCAGATGAGATGAGATTATGGTTCATCCTTTCACCAAATGTGTATGTGCCTTCTGTATGAGGGTCACATTAGGAATCTACGCAAAGGCAGACACTTGAGGGGGGAGGGTTGGGATCTCAACATCGACCCGCACAACCCTAGACATTTCATTCCTTAAGAATAAGACCCCCCATATTTCATTAAATGTCTGCCACTGGATGTAAGAAAGGAGAGCTTGCATGTTTGCCCTAGCTCAAACAGAGTAAGAAAATGCAAATTTTCTTTAACCTTAAGCATAGAAATGAAACAATAGACATTTGACAAAAAAGATTAAAGAAAGCATCTAAAACAAACAAAATCAAAATTTTTGAGAGTAAATTGTGAAGAAAATCAATCCAGTAGAACGATTGCAACCTTATGAATGTAAATATTGTGTGTGAAAACTACATTGCCATGAAACTGTAAGTAACAACATTTTAAGCATCAAACTTACTTTTAAATGCAACACTTCATAGTCATCATGAAAACTTTCATACACGGTGACTCCATACAACATACTATTAGAGCTATAAGTGTAAAAACCATACCTGAGAGGTGGCATTAATCTGATTGCTTGAAGCTAAGTTCATCAAATTCTTAAAATCCATGACTGCTTGTCTCAATCTAAATTAAATGCTAACACAATTTAGTTCACTGATTTTTTAATCTAAATTTACAACTTTAACATTTTATAAAATTAACGAAATTCAGGATTTCTCCATACAAAATTACATACATACATAACCTTTGTAAATTATATGATTATAATACTAATAAATTCAATGCACAAAAAATTTCTGCACATAAGAATGTGCTATTTCAATTTCAAAATAAAAAATGCATAATTCCTTTGCTCTATTGTACCTCTGTTCTATTGGACATGAAATGTCTGATTTAATCTATTGCCATGAAAACAAGGATGAGTAAGCCATAAAAAGAATATATGTGAAATATGGCTTCGAGCTCTGCCCATATTTTTATATTTTACGCTAATTAACAAGGTAACATTACTGACAGATATTATGACAACAAATAAAACAATTTTCATTTTTGTACTGTATATGCCATTGTTAGTAATGACTGGTTCACATGCAAAATCTTTAAGTTTATTTTCGTGCTTGTGAAGACGCTTTCTCTACTCGTGTGAATCAGGCTTAAGGGCAGTATTGAAAGGAAAATTTCACATAAATTTGTTACCAAACATAAATACAAAATTCAAATAGTATGGGATCATCAAATTTTAAATCAACATTAATCTATAATATTAAGTACTTACTAGTGTTAATCATTTGTGTATGAAGCTATTTCGTCAAGAGAATACATCATGTATTCACTCTCCCATTTACTATAAATGAGCTTTAGCAAGAGTACGACCACGACACCGAGTACGAAGTTTGACCGTGTAAGGGAATGGCACGAGGAAGTTTGTTGTCGTTGTCGCTTCGTCAAAACCATTGAGTTCTATACATTGAGTTCTATAATAACTGGAGCGGCTAACTTTACTGGGGCGACGCATTGAGTTCTATAATAACTGGAGGGGAAACGTCAACAAAATTAGTATAAATTATTAGCGCGCGGCCGCGTGGTCAAAAACATGTCGGATTTTGGTGGTCAAAGTCAGCGGAGAGACGCGGGCTAATTAAATAAAATTTTTGTCGCCCACCCTGATTTGACCACCACGACTGCGAGTATAGAAAATATCAAAACTATTTATTTTCCTAACATAAACACTTTTTTAAAATTTATTTATTAAATTGCCAACTTCTGTGGTTTGCGGATGCTGAAATATCGACAGAAAGGAAACATTTCATGACTCCGGTAAGTAGCACAGTATTAGTTTTACTATTTTGTTTTTAACACGATACTTGAAGAGTGTTTCTTCTACTAAGTTTTAATTTAAAGTTATTTTGGTCCAGTCTTGTTTGTTCTTCACTTAATCGCTCGCCAGACGTGTCGAAGCTGTCAATTTTTATCGAGTTTTGCATCCATCTTGTATCATGATCAAGGCATCAGGCTAAACTCTCCTGATTTGGATTGAGTTTACCTCCCAAAAATGGGGCATAATTTGTTCATGTTTTTTTTGAAAAGATGAAGGGAAAGTTTACAACAGAGTTGTGTTGAAATTGAATGCAGTGCCATGCAAAATTAATGAGAACTATGGTATATGTTGTATAATAAAAATAACTATTCAACTGTTTGACTGACTGTATAGTGTAGACAATTATAATGGATTGGAAAGTTGGATTTATGCAAACAATTTTAAAGTACTACTTAGCGTTTCTGTAAATGAAATATTTATTGTTATAGTAAACAGGTTACTACTTCAAAACCAAGATAAAAGTAGTGTGTTGAACAATGTGCTAAGATTTGTTTCTACCTTGAAATTTTTGTTCAACAGTAGCTTATGATTATATCATTAATATGCATGAAAAATTAAACATATTATTGTCTCATCTCATCAAATCCATACTTGGTATGATTCCAGGTGATCCACAAATTCACATCGGATACATTGGTTACAATAAAGTTGAATGTAAAAGAAGCAAAAAGAGATGGCAAAGAAATTCTTTGTGTCTTATGAAGAATTAGTAGAAATCAATAAAGAATTCTTTAAACAAATTGTAAACAAATTTAAATTTGCTCATGGTCAAGCAACCTAGTCAAAGAAGCAAAGTCTGTCTTCAACATGTGACCTTTCCAATTATGTTTAGTTTCTTTGTACAGAATACTACTTTCGAGAAACTTGATTTGTAAGTCTTGCATTAATATTTTTTTTACCAAGAGATAAAAGGAACTAATTCAAAGGCTTGATGTAAAATACAAAGATTTAGCAAGTTGTTTATCATTTAATTCCCAAATGTTAGTTTGTACATATAAAAATTAGTATTGGTAGCTCTAAGTTGTTTAAGCAAAACAGAAGTGTAGTAGTGCTCGAAGGGGTTAGGATTTTTGAAAAATTATATCTTGTTCTTGACATATATTACACAATTCCAAAAAACTGTAAGTAATGCACAATAATATCTATAGAACTTGATAAATTTCTTCGCCTACACTGTCAAATCACTATTTTGCCTTCATGCAGCAATAGACAGTGTTTTGGTCAGAGAAACCAATGCACTTTAGTTTCCAAGTTTGTAATTTCAATGGAAAATTAATGTTCTGTTCAGTAATAGATCCAAGATTCTGCCAAGCTGTTTACAAAATACAAATTATCAAGCAACAGTATCTTGGTGTTTTGAATTTTTTTCTTTTTTGTAGCTCTTCTAGTTCAACATACTTTCTTTATGAGTTTTCAGTAGATTTATCAGGTAATAACAATAAACTTATGATACTTATCCATGGTAAATTTTCAGTTGACTTATGTCGTAGGACTGAAGCAAACATTTTCTCGCTTCCTTAGGAGCATTTTAACACAGATTTATCCATTTGAGCAAGAAAAATAGTTGCACCAAACTGTTTACAAACAGTCAAACACACAGAAGCATGAAATAATGTATAAGTTTGACGAGATTGACAGGTCTACTAATGCCGTTTGATTTTCACTTTTAAAAGGTTAAAATGTCATAAAATAACTTAAATGTTACAGCCAAAATATGCGTTTCTCTACCGTCGATTTTCTTTATTTTCATGTGTGTGTACTGTTTTCACGCAATGCTGAAGCATTATTTTCACATGATGCTGTCGGTATCGTAATTGTTTTTTTTTTCACTTGTTATCGTTCATATAAACAGTATAGGAAATCAGGAGGGAGTGAATATTGAAAAACATTTTCAAAGTGGAAGTCTTGACCACCAAAATCCGCCATTACCGCCATGTTTTTGACCACGGGGTCCAGGCCCCTTTGCCCCTCCAGGTTTTATAGAGCTCAATGGGGCGACGACGCCAAAAAAATGGCGGCCAAAGGACGTATTTCCGCAGAAATGATCGCTTTGCAGAAAAATAATATTCTCGACCTCCCCCTGGTGTCGATAGTAAATTATAAAGAATTTTTCAAAAACAAACACGATATCACAGAATATGGATATCGTTTGTTCCATATTCTGTGACGATTCATTTTTGGCATTTCTTTTATAATGCCAACACTTCAATCGTTCAATTGTTGGATGTCGTAGTTTCCACAAAAAGGAACATATCGCTTCTCACAGGTGAGGTAGTTATTTTTTTGTTAGTCCGTCAACGATTGAAAAGCAATTATACATGCACTTGAAAAGCCATAAAATATATATTAAAGATCGTATTTTTTAAGACTGACTTGAACGCCAAATATACTGATGTTTTCCTGTTTTTGTTTATAAAATTCTGCATACCTTTCTGTCATTTTTTAATGAATGAAATCGTAAATTTACCCATTTATTTGCAAAATAGTTTCCCTAAAGCAAAAACGACCCTGCACACATTTTGCCCTGTGATTAAGTATCAAAAAGAAATGATCAGCCCCAACGGTACCCATGATATTGAGCAGAGCTTGTTATGTTCTATGTGCTGACAACATGCAGGGAAGATCATGAATGCATGTTGAATGCTTTGAAGTTAAAGTTCATGATCCAAAGAAAGATGGCAAGAAGATTGTGTGTGTTTTGATGCTTAATGAAATGTCAATTCACAAACATGTAAAATGGAAGGCCATAAAGTTTGTGTCTATGTAAACAATTGTACTGAGATGATGATGACTCGATGAAGATATGAAGCATCAAACTGTATAAGCCATTGGGTTTTATGTAACTTAATGTTTAAATCATGTCATATCTTTATCAAAATATTTTAGTTGAGTGTTGTTTGAATGTTACTAATATCTAATGCACTATACTGAAGCATCATTTCTTTTTGATACTTACTCACAGGGCAAAATGTGTGCAGGGTCTTTTTTGCTTTAGGGAAACTATTTTGCAAATAAATGGGTAAATTTACGATTTCATTCATTAAAAAATGACAGAAAAGTATGCAGAATTTTATAAACAAAAACAGGAAAACATCAGTATATTTGGCGTTCAAGTCAGTCTTAAAAAATACGATCTTTAATATGTATTTTATGGCTTTTCAAGTGCATGTATAATTGCTTTTCAATCGTTGACGGACTAACAAAAAAACAACTACCTCACCTGTGAGAAGCGATATGTTCCTTTTTGTGGAAACTACGACATCCAACAATTGAACGATTGAAGTGTTGGCATTATAAAAGAAATGCCAAAAATGAATCGTCACAGAATATGGAACAAACGATATCCATATTCTGTGATATCGTGTTTGTTTTTGAAAAATTCTTTATAATTTACTATCGACACCAGGGGGAGGTCGAGAATATTATTTTTCTGCAAAGCGATCATTTCAGCGGAAATACGTCCTTTGGCCGCCATTTTTTTGGCGTCGTCGCCCCAGTAAAGTTAGCCGCTCCAGTTATTATAGAACTCAATGGTCAAAACACAGAATATATACTATCCAGAAGGGCCACTCTTGAGTTAACTTGTCGCTAATTTTTTATGCGCATGCTCCAATTCCGCCATCTTCCTGGCCAGTCAATAGCTGGCAGCGGTATATAAAACTATAAGATGCGAAGTGAAGACTGGAAAACGTCGATTTTTTTCAATTGAGGCTGTTCAATCTGATGCGTAATTTATAAAATAGCAAAAGCAAGGTATGTTTTAACTTTTCTGAAAGTTTTAAGGAATCTCAGTCGTACTTTATGCCGATTCATCGTCATCGCATGTTCGATTTGGTCAAACGATCACACTATGAATCTTTATGACACCATACGACTGAACTTTGATGATTGAACTACAGAACATTTATTTGGTGTTTCAGGATATTTTTCTGTGTTATTTAAGAAGAAAACATCCAGGAATATCTGCCAATTTTAAGCTGCACTGTTTATACGATACCATTAAGACCAATATTTTACTATAAATTCTATATAGTTATAGTTTTATTGAACATGTAATTAACATTTTATCAGTGGTTAGGTAGATAAATATACGATATATTAATCTTGTAAATGATCACATACCATTATAATGTATCTGAGAAATAGTGAATTGCATAAGAGCATACACACTGGCTGAACTGAAGTTTTGTACTGTTGTTTAAATTTTGGTCAATTACAAAGACAGACATGAGCTAATTAAATGATAAGATAATTTATTACTTACCTTTGCTATACAAATAAATCTTAGTTGGACTAAAAAACAACTTTGACCATGGCAAATGGCATCTATGCTGTGTGTTGTAGCAATAGTTGGTAGTTGAGTAATGTATTCTTGCAGTAAATCTCATAGACCAAATTTCCACTATTTATTTTATTTTAATAGAATCCTTCTGCTGTAGTTTTTTACTAGAAATAAATATAAACTGTATGGCGGAACTGTCCTGAGAATTAAAAGCAATGATCTTTAATTTTGTGAATTGTCTTGAAAACCTATGCTCATATTTTATTTTCCTTGTAAACTCAA